AGAGGAACTTTTCTGGGACGAACAGATACAAATCCAAGATTTTTTTAGCTCACGACGAATGGTCCGTTCACTAACTTCAAGCTCTGGGTTTTTTTCTTTAAGTTGGGCCTTCATTTCACTTGCTGTAGTGAAATGATTATGCTTGACGATCATTCCAATTTGGCGGCGTTTTTTAGGAGTCAATTTTCGTGGTCGACCAGACCGATAACCTATAGTAATCTTACCAATTTTCTTTAATGAACTAACATAACGATAACAGGAGCGTAAGGGAACACCTGTTCTTTGTGAAATTTCTCTTGCATTTCGGATTTTTCGCTGCCAAAGAAGGTTAACAGCATTTCGGTTTCTTTCAAGGGTGGTTAATACCATTTTAAATGAAAAACATGAAGAAATTCATTTTTTTCTACAACTTTTTTTTGTTTGTTTATTAAATATTATTTATAAAGAACACTCTAGAAATACTGGAAAATTCTAAAGTGAAAAATGAACATGCCACGACTCAAAAAATAAGCAGCGCTTGTAGTGCCATTACTTTCGCCGGTGACTGTAACATCACTACTAACGCCGCTGCCACCATCACCACCACTAATACTCATACTAACACGAAGAAAGGTTTTATGCCCAATTCTTTATTATAAACAAAATTGCGAAAACTATAAACAACAGTAATTAAAAATAATTATTTTCTTCAGTTAAAGGATCGTGTGCGAGTTATTGATAATATCATATTGACGTAATAATTCAACGGATCATATCTTTATTTGTCTCTCTAGATTCTCTCAAGGTTTAACTAACCATGTTATTTGTTTTAAGTTACTTAATTTTGACACAAAGTCGAGATCATTAATGGGTTTATGTTGATGAATAATTTAATATTCATAAAATTGCAACATCTTTCCAACCACAAATAAATTGACGGATAGTGGTGTAATTTTAACGATGAATTTTAAATCGACATTTAGCGGATAATTATAGAAAATAAAATGTATTTATAATCTGACTAATTTATTTTAGAAGATTACATAATTGTCTAATTAAAATGTATTTATTAAATAATATTCTTATTAACAAAATTCTGAATTCGAATCCGACCAGGATATATTAATGAAATTACAGGGTAAAGTTTTGATGGTAGATCATTCCATTCCGATACAGCTGGATATTTTACACACCATTGACTGTAAACGAACAGGTTCTTTTATTCATATCTAAATGAACAGTAACTTTGCTATTATCTGTCACAAATGGAGGACAATACCCTTGTTTATATACGTTAGAATGGTAAATGTACCCCGAAGAGCCTAATACCCATTCAGTGCTTTGAAATCCTGCAAAATTTTCATAATTAAAATTTTCTGTTGCACACACTCCAGCCCAAGCATATATATTTTTCTATAATAACATCCCATTCAAAAATACCTTTATTTCCTAATGTCATCTTAGCTCTAACACTTTGGTACTTTTCGCTAGCATTAGATCGTACAACTTTGCCATTATCTTCAATAATAAGTCCGGATCCGCTCGCTGACTCATCCCAAATATAATCATCATTTTTAGATGCAGGTAAAAATTTACGAACTTCATTAGAACCTGTATCATTTAAAATTGCCTTATGTCTATAAGCATTAAAAATCGTTTCAATCGGAATAATGTTTAATGGCTCAATGATATTAGCCAATATTTGACTTGAAATTCGTTTGAAGTCGATGAAATTTATAAAAGGTTCCAATTCTTTCGCAACCTTATGATGATCCGGGATAAGCTCATTATCAATTTGTTTAAAGTTATCCATAAGTTCTAGGGTTGGTAGCCGGTTTAAAAGAGATTTATTTGCATCATTAGAAATTTGTCTTGAAACTAAAATAGCACAATATCGAAAAACCTCATATTCTGGGGTTACGAATGGTTTTTCTTTTTCATAAGTACAAGATAAAAGGACCCGAAGTGCTGTAGCTGATAACCGACCGAATTCAATAGTATTTAACGGTATAGCTGAAACCGCTTCAATTAATAGGTTAGAAAGAATATTATCTTCTGAGAATGGCATCGTTTCTATAATTTGAGATAACCATTCCGGTGAATAATTATCATTGCAATCCTTTTTCAAGTTATTTTTAACCGTCTTCATAATGAAATCTTGAAGGTCCGGTAGTTGAAAGTATTCCGCAGCAATAAATGCCTCAACGATATTTTCTTTGGTTAAAGATTCCTCTTGAACAACTTCCGTATAAACATATTCCAAAATGATTTCTATCCCTGATGAATTAATCTTTGAAAAAGTAATTTTGTTCTCATAACTTTCTCCGACTCTGCTTTTCAAATACTTCAGATCTTGCAGCCAAAATCGCTCTACAACCATGTAATTTCTTTTCATATTTGCATATAATTTCTATGTCACTATATTTTGGGTTATTGATTAATAATCTCAAATCTTGTTCTAATGAATACCCTCTTGTCATTTTAAATTTTTTTTTTTTTTAGAAAGCAGTTTAAAGATGGGAAAGATAAATTTCAAGATAAAAAATGTCCATAAAAAGTCATTTAAATCGGAGTTTTTGAATTCTTTTGAGATTACAATATTCTACATATGCGACATTCTAAGCCTGATATTCTTGTAAAGTTTATTCAAAAATACCAGCATCATGATATTCTTTGAAACAATACACATAGAATTTTATCTATTAGTGATGTAGAAGTATTAAAAGGTAGTGATTTATATAATTTCAGATTAAACTTTTCTATTTAGAAATTTTGAATCAAAATTCTATAACCGATCGTATAAATACAATGGTTAATATTCAAATATTATAGATTACTAATCCTTGACGAAATTTGAACGTCAAGTTTTTCTGTGATGAAATTGTTTATTCTATACTCATAGATATATTTGTCATAATACTTACTTATTTTCTAATGGATGGACTGAATCAACTGTTATTAAAAAATCAATTCCAAATGTTTTATTTTTTTTATTTTCCATTTGTAAGGTCCTGATAACGTCAAATTACTGCGTCATAAGAATAATAACATTTTCAGCTTCAACATATTTATTATTTTTTATGCATTATTTATTGAAATTAATTTTAAAATATTTCTTTTTTTATTTTTTTTTTTACCATAATTATTACCTTTGGAAAGAATATAAGAAAAAAAATCAAAAAGTTTATTATACTAGCCCCATGTATTTTATTTCTTAATAATATCTATTTTTTGTGTCAAACCCTTTAAAGCTCCAACATTATAAATATATAAATTCAGGTTAAGCTAAAATACATTCTTAGACACATTTTAATAAGTATAAATAATCGTATGTTTTTTTATTATAAAAATGTCTTCAGAATAATCGATAAAAAAAAAAATAAAGAACTTAAAATTTTTCTCAATGACGAAAAATCTGTTTCATTTTTTCATATGATTCTCTAATTATTATAAAATATTTTTCGTAAATGTAAATAAACATTTTTATCAATTATACTTTGATTCACAATGTCGGTAATCCAAGGAATTACTAGTGATTATAAAATACAAATGATGGGTTTGATTAAAAGCTTTGAAATCATAAATTTAATGATGAATCAGACTTGTCTGATTAAGATACAATGTTATTACTATGTAAATTTTGTTTAGATAGCATATTATTGGCGATAGTACTTTTGCATCGTTTAATGAAATTAAATAGTATAGTATTTCTCGTCAACTCGTTTTGATGAAATTTTTTTGAATATAAATCAAAGGATTATTAGTTAATTAGCCTTGGAGTACTTTTAAATTAGATCATTTTTTATGAATAATTATGCTTCTGGTATGTTAAGAAAAAAATAATATTTGATTACATCATCATAAAGATTACGTTTAACGAATTCAAGATCTATCTGATTATTGAATTTACATAAAGTGTTAAAAGACAAACTTATTAACTTAATATTCATTTGTATTTCCAAATTTTCAAAGGCGATTACATATGTCAGAACAAAACACCTTGAAAATGTTAAGATTAGTTCGTATATTTCTAAAAATCATTTATTCATTTATGTACTAATAAATTATATTCAAATTAATCTATTAACTAAAGCTGATTCCGTTACGGTTCAAACATCTATATTGAAATTGCTTCCCTCAATTTACTTAAGTCTTTCTTATTTATCGTAAATGGCAAATAATTGAACTTAATCATAATGACTTGTTAAGAATTCTAGTAAAATTTATACTGTACATATATTCTAATAATCATAGTCGATAAAAATTTGACTACCTAAAAGTCTTCCCTTAAACTGAATCGATCATCTATTAATATTCTAATGTGCTGTGCTTATTACCAACCTATTTATTAATTAAGGTTGTAGGAAACTATCGAAAATTGTCGAAAACCGTCAAAATTCTTTAAAATCCGTTGAAATTGTTTTTAAAATGCTAGTGTTTCAGACCTAAACAAAGATTTAGATACTATATAATGAGATATCCTTAGGATATTTTTATTTTGGAGGTAATTAATAATTTAATATAAAAGCTTTTGATATCATGTATTAAATATATTTACAACAGAACGTTGAAACTTTTGCCAACCTTTGCGATTTTGCCTTTAAAAAATTTAAAAACGTCATAACTATCAATTTTGACATCTGTAGAAACCTCAGGGTGTCAGAAACCTTATTATGATGATAAAATATCTGAGCTTAATCTCGAAAAGACTTGTTAGAAACTTTAATAACATACATTTAACTAGCATATTTCAGAAAATTTGATCACAAATGTGTAGCTTTCAAAAGAATTCAAGCAACTTGGTAAATGTGTAATAACATATTTGCAAATTTTGAATTTATTTAATTCAAAAATACTTTATTTTGGAATTTGAAAAATAAATTCTATGGTAATATAATTGATACATGCAAACATTTAAAAATTAGAACATAAAAAAATATTATTTTAATTTCAGATAAACAATCATTACAATTGCGAACGTTTTCTGTTAATGGTATCATATTTTAATTTCTTAAACTATTCTATTTTAATAAGCTGCTATACAACCGTTTTGTATTATTGTTAAAAAAAATTATCTTATCTTTAGGTAATTTATTTAAAAGCAATTTATTAGTTCCATAATCACTTTCTTTAAATTGAGGATTTTTACTTAAATCCAAGCTAGTTAATTTTTCATTTCCTAATTGAAGTCTTTGTAAATTAATATTATTGCTTAAATTAATCCTACTTATCTCACTGAATGGCAATTCTAGAAATTTAAGTTTAATATTTTTACTGACATTAATATTTGTGATATTATTGAATACAGTAAACTTTTCTAAATCAGAATAAACTGATAAATCAAGAGGTCCTTTTATTATATTTCTCCCTAATACCTCTTCAATTTCTTTTATTGACTTATTAGGATATTTTATTTGAAATTGTTTATGTAATATCATTTCAACTGGAAATGTTATATTACTTTTAAATATTTTACTTGTCGATAATATTTCTCCAATCAAAACTTCGCCATAATTTAGAAATTCTTTTCTTGCTCAATAAATTTATTAATTTTTTTACAATTTGATAAATTCAAAAAAACCAATTCGTTATTATAACAGGATAGTCTTTCTAAGAAATTAGTAAATTTGTTAATCCAGTTTAGAGGTTGGAATCAGTTTAGTGAAATTCGATTTAAATTCAGTTTAAACCGGTTGCAACATAAAACTGGGTCTGATTTTTAAAGATTCGAAAACTGGTTTTAATAAGATCGATTGATTGTGAAAATTTGAATTTAATGAACTGGTTTAAACCGGTTTTATGCATTAACAAACAATGACATTTGATACAACGGTGGCGTAAAGTTTGATTTATAAAGAAAATTAATACATTGGCCTTGGGAGTTTCTTTTATATTTTCATATTTATGTGGTCTTAGAAGTTTTTTTTTTATTTTCATATTTTTAGTAGGAATATGTCATATTCTACAAAAATATATGAAAATTATT